CATTCTAGTTTTCTTTTGTATAATGAATGGTAAAAACGTACAACAGCACTGATAGCATTCTATTCGAGCGCAGCCTTATATACATTTACAAATGACATTTGCAAGTCATCACTTGAGTTTAGAAAATATATATAAAAGAACTAAAGATGATCATAAACCAATTTGTGTGAAAATTTTGAAGTTGTGAAATAAAGTCCTATATATACAACAATAGTAATAGTAGTAATCGGTATAATATCTGTATAATCAAAAAATTATATTGTGGAACAAAATTTGATATTTTCTTTTGCATCACAAGTGTGAATAAACAATTTCGACGTATTTTTTTCCTGCTGAACACGAATTCGTTGGCAAAAGTTGGCTATCACGTCACAATTGTGAGAAAAATGGCGTTAAATAGGTCGAAACGATGATTTTGACAGTTTTCAAGACGTGGCAGCATCGACAGCTAATTTTTTTTGCTCAATTTCATTAAGGCCATATAAAAGCATAAGTCTTTAGCTTTAAAATGCATTTTGGTTCATTATGATATGATTTCTTGTTTCCGAGATATAGCAATTTATAAATAAAACAATATTGATTTTCTCACGTAACACTATCTGATAAAATTTAATTTTTTTTTCATCGCGAGTATGAATAGTCATTTCCGACGTATTTTTGCCTGCTGAACATGAATCCGTTGGTAAAAATTGGCTATCACGTCACAATTTTGAGAAAATTCAACAATTTCGTTTTCGGCCACTTTGACGCATTGTTATTATAAAAATAAAGATATGTATGGTACCAATATATAATTACTAGCAAAATTATTTCGGTATTCAGTCATTACGATATCGCGATTATTTGTTCAATATACATATAATAAATTGTAATAAATTGCCGGAATTTAATATCTATAATTACCACACACATAAAAGTTTAAATTTTGTACTTAAACGAATCGTTGGAAATTGTGTCGCAATCGACTTACCGCGACTTTTTCTTATTGTTTACACGTTTTTTTTTTTGTAACCTTCCAGGGTGATAACAAATCGTCGGTTAACAATGTCTCGTCCGAATCGCGCGATCGTTAGTTTGCCGAGACGTCATTTAATATTAACAATAATATCATCATTCTTATTAAAATTCAAATTCCGACAAAGTTCAATCGCGCCGACGACCCGAAGCCTGTCACGTCCTGCGTCGCCATCGACGTCACTCGTTATAATAATCACGCGTAAACTAAACGTCGACATTCGGTTTTCAAAGCGATTAATTGTGCGGTTAGTAAAATTAACAGTGTTCTCTCTCAACGCTCAAACCTTTACTCTCGACACCTTCCTTTTTCGAGATAAAGTCTTTATGTATATATTTTTGGACATAGTGTAAATAGTTCTGTATAATAAATCGTGTTCATGAATTATATTAAGACATTTACAGTTAATTCAATAGTGATTAATCCTTTCCGCCGGTTTTAAATTCGCGGTTACGCTCTCAAACACTATTAAGTATTATTACTTTTAAATATCTTTTGTACATTTTATAAATAATTTTGTATAATAATTTAGTGACTTAATCATATATTTAGAGTTACATAAACTTTTTGCGAGAATTAACGACAACGACGACAATCAATAAAAAATCCGAAATGATAAAACTAAATGTTTGCAACTTCAAAACTGATGTTATATGATATATTACTGTACAAATCTTTTTATTGCACGCCATTGACATTTATAATTTACCGACTTTCAACTTTCAACTATTTAGAAAATCTAATGACAACATTTTGGGGTGAGAATCAAAGAGTATTGTGTGCTAATATACACGAATTTTCACAAGTAATTGTGGATTTAACCTTGATGAATTGTAATATTTGTATATCTAATGTTTGGATGAAAGTCAGTCGATGTCTGATCGTCGAACAAGCAAAAACGAAAATATCCGAAATGATAAAGCCAAATATTTTCAATTATAACTTCGAAACTGACGTGATATGGTATATTGCTCTGCAAATCTTTTTATTGCACGCCATTGGCATATATAATTTGCTGACTTTCAACTACTTGAAAAATCTGATGACTACATTTTGGAGTAAGTAGTTTGTCCTTTGTATACAGGGAAATTAAAAAAAAATAATTTACAAAATTTTCAAAATTTTTTCCATGCAACTATCAGGGTCTTTTTAAAATAAAATCTTTGTTTTTCGAATTAATCGAATCCAAAATAGTTAAAGCTAATATTTTTTTAGCCAATTGCATTTTTCCATACTGTCAAAAAGTATTGACAAAATTATTTAAATTAAAGGTAATTAATTCGACAATGAATAATTTTTTTTTATGTGATTATTTTTTTATTAAGTAGATTTGATTAATAACTATTAATATAATTATGTTCATTGGAATTAAAACGCAATTGTGTAGAATTATTCAATATAGTACATCATAGATACGTATATTCAAATTTATGAAATGTTTGAATGTAAATAAATAATATATTTAAAAACGTATAATATTTTTAAAAACGTTATATAAAAAATAAAGTCTCGAAAATCTTCAAAATTTTTTCAAAAATCCCTGCATATATTATATTTTTATTTAAAAACTTATATTTGTGTGTAGGACATTTTAGAAGTATCTCACACTTTTGCGAGAAAATTCATAATTATATGTATATAATACATATTATATAAACACAATTCTTTCGTATTTTCAAGTAATCGGGATGTACTTCATATCCAATCTCGGAGTATCTGCTGGTGCTCATCGACTTTGGAGTCACAAGGGCTACAAAGCAAAATTACCTTTAAGAATTTTATTTTTAATATGCTTCAGTTCAAGTGCACAGGTAAATTTTATTTGCTATTATTATTAATACATTTTTACGCACATTATACTTGTATGTGTATACATACAATGCAACATAAAATTCCAAATTTTTTAGAAAAGAATCAATTTTAATTCGGTCAAAGAATTCATAGATAATGTTTTACCGATATTTTTCAATAAATACTTGTATACATGTGTAAATAATATTTTAATTGTTTGCTTTTAGAATTCGATATACAATTGGGTGAAGAATCATCGTATGCACCACAAATATTGCGACACTAATGCCGATCCCCACAATCCCCAACGCGGGATCTTTTTCGCGCATATGGGATGGGTGATGATGACAGAGCATCCGGAATTTATTAAAAAAAGCAAGCAGATCAATTTATCGGATGTTTTATCAGATCCTGTTGTGATTTTTAACAAAAGGTAAATTTAATTAGCTATAGAATATATATTAATTATTTTACATTTTTATTATTTTGAATAAGAAATCTCAAATGATGCTAATAAATATATGCAAATATCTTTAATGTGCAGGCCTACATTAATTATAATTTGAGAATACTTTCTCTTTGTTTTAATCTTTCAGATGTATAATACAATAATTTTAATATTTTTACGCAAATCATAAATTCACAGATATTCTATTATAAAATCTATTATTTCCAGATTTATAAATATGTATGTTGCGCTTACAATTAAATAAATTCCGAAAAATCAGAGTTGCATTTTTACAGATACTCCTTGCTCCTTCAATTTATCTTCGCTTTTATCCTACCAACGGCAGTACCGATATATCTATGGAATGAGACTTTGGGCAGAGCTATCATATCGCAAATATTTATACGATATATGCTTACTTTGAATTCCATATGGAGTATCAATAGCATTGCTCATGCGTGGGGTACTAAACCATACGATAAGTGCGTAATTTGATAGCATAAATCACGGTACAATTTACATTTTCATTGAGTTGCATCCACGTTGCCGCAAGAAGTAAATTATTCGTGACTTTAGTAGTTTAGTATAATTATTTGCTAGTTGTAACAGATAATTATTTTATCGTCAAAATATTATAAATATAATTAACATCTCCGTGAGGAAGTGGATGCACACTCGGTGGCCTCAATAATATAAATGTAAGCATTATTAATGTTACTAGTTTCATTAATAAGATAATTGTTTACTATAATACAATTTCTGTTTTTCAGGAATATAAATCCATCGGATAACGAGCTTGTTAATTTCGTGACAGTAGGAGAAGGCTATCACAATTTTCATCACGTGTTCCCGTGGGATTACAGATCGTCGGAAAAAGGAAATAACCATTTTAATTACGCTACCATTTTTATCGATTTTTGTGCGAAATTGGGACAAGCATATGACCTTAAATATCCGTCTATTGATCTCATAAGAAAGATTATATTGAAGAAAGGTGACGGGACTCA